AGATGCAATAGAGGATTCCCAAAGATGCTTTTTCACCAGGCAGCTGGACTTTCTTGTTGGTTTGTTTCCTTTTGTCTTCGAAGACCAGAGACTGATTGGCCAGAGATTGGAAAGGAAACCTGATTTGAGAAAATGCTGGTTAGATGTTGGGCATGTCAGGAAGCCACAAACAGGAGATTTGAAAGAAAAAGCGGCAAGAGATTGAAGTCACTCGCTGGAAGTCCAAAACGCTCTTTTCTTTTTGCCTTCCTTCCTTTTTTTCTTTCCTGCCTCCCTTCCTCTTTTCTTTCTTTCCTTCTTTCCATTCTTCTTCCTTCTTTTTCCTCCCTCCCTCCCTCCCTCCTTTTCTTTTCTTTTTTTCTTTTTCTTTTTGTCTTTCTTTCTCTCATTCTCTTTCCACTTAACCAGTGGAACAACCTGCCTTCAGAAGCGGTGAATGCGCCAACCCTGGAAGTTTTTAAGCAGAGACTGGACAGCCATTTGTCTGAAATGGTATAAGGTTTCCTGCCTGAGCAGGGGGCTGGACTAGATGACCTCCAAGGTCCCTTCCATTATTCTGTTATTCTTTTTTTTCCTTCCTTCCTTCCTTCCTTCCTTCCTTCCTTCCCTTCTCCAACACTGGAACTTTTTAAGAAGAGACTGGACAGCCATTTGTCTGACATGGTATAGGGTTTCCTGCCTGAGAAGGGGGTTGGACTAGATGACCTCCAAGGTCCCTTCCGAGTCTGTTTTTTTCCTTCCTTCCTTCCTTCCCTCCCTCCCTCCCTCCCTCCCTTCTTCAACACTGGAAGTTTTTAAGAAGAGACTGGACAGCCACTTGTCTGAAATGGGATAGGGTTTCCTGCCTGAGCAGGGGGCTGGACTAGATGACCTCCAAGGTCCCTTCCAACTTTATTATTATTATTATTATTAATTATTATCATCTTGTTAATGATTTTATTTTCTTTGTTATCTTATAATGGATGACTTTAATGATTTTTAATCTTTTTATGCTGCTAAACTGTAACCCGGAGACGTTCTTGTTGTGAAAAATACACAGCGGTGCCGGCGACAAGAGGAGCGGTGTGTGTGGAGGGGTTGCCCTTTGCTTAAAAACAACTCACAATGCCATTTATTTAGAAAATAAACCTTTTTACAAAAATAATGAACTCCGCAAAATAGAGCAAACGTTATGAAGCAAAGCCGGGCGTTTCTGGAACTGGGCGTATCCGGAAGAAAACCACGGCAAACCAGGTTAGGATGCGTCGAAATCAGCCGGGAAAGGAAGGCGGGTTGGTTAGGGAGAAGGCTGCCAATGCATCCTGGATAACTTGACGCTAAGGAAGCGTCTTCCTTGGGGCTCCGGTGGAACAAAGCTGTAGAGCAGAAGACTCCCAACTCGGCCGCTTTGAAGACTTGTGGACTTCAACTCCCAGAATCCCCCAGCCATCACGAAGGGGGCAAGAACCAAGGTGGCTAGATTGTTTTATTGCAATTGTTTTATAGCAGGGGTCTTCAAACTCGGCCCTTTGAGGACTGGTGGGCTTCAACTCCCAGAATTCCTCAGCCGGCGTGCCTGGCTGAGGAATTCTGGGAGTTGAAGTCCACAAGCAGGGGTCTTCTAACTCGGCCCTTTGAGGACTGGTGGGCTTCAACTCCCAGAATTCATCAGCCAGCGTGCCTGGCTGAGGAATTCTGGGAGTTGAAGTCCACAAGCAGGGGTCTTCCAACTTGGCCCTTTTATGACTTGTGGACTTCAACTCCCAGAATTCCTCAGCCGGTATGCCTGGCTGAAGAATTCTGGGAGTTGAAGTCCACCAGCAGGGAGTCTTCCAACTCAGCCCTTTTATGACTTGTGGACTTCAACTCCCAGAATTCCTCAGCTGGCGTGCCTGGCTGAGGAATTCTGGGAGTTGAAGTCCGCAAGCAGGGGTCTTCCAACTTGGGATTGAAGTCCACAAGTCATCAAAGGGCCAAGTTGGAAGACCCCTGTTTTATAGGATAACTTCCTTAATAGATAGCAGGTATGCGGTCGACGTAATATATCTTGCTTTTGGCAAAGTGGAAAAACAAAAAAAAAAGAGAGAGCTGGCTGGGGAATTGTGGGCGTTGAAGTCCACCAGTCTTAAAGTGGCCAAGGTCGGGAGACCTCTGCCATAGTAGGAGAAGCGGCCGGACGTCTTCTGCAAACGGACGGCAGCGAAGGGACCGCAGGAGGAGAAATCCCGACGGAGGAGAGTCGGAGATCGCCGGAAGTGGGTCCTGGCAAGCAGCATCTATGCTCCATTATCCACCAACGGACCCCGCTCAGTTGTCACTCCGATTCTAGCCAAAGCGACGCAAGCTTTCCTTCTCGGCCTTATTTGGAGGGACGGGCAGTGTTTTGCATTCCTAGCTGCGGTGGAGGACGGCAAAGCGGCGGCTGTCGCCCGCCTGCGTCAATCCCGCGGGCAAAACAGACCAGGGGGTGGGAGAGAGGAAGGGTCCAGCCGCCGGGATGCTACCGCCACACGGTTCCTCCCCGGCTGCTGCTGCTGCTGCTCCGGGAGTGGGAGGCCAACGACCCGGATAGCTTCTTCCCCGTCTTCCCAGGAGCATGGGTCTTCTCGTGGCCAGGCCCCGAGCTCCCCGCCCGCCGCCTGGGCGGGCCCTGAGAAGGAAAGAAGGACAGATCCTGAAGCGTTCCCGGAGGTGGGGTTTCCCGTGCCTCTTGTCTTGCTTGGGGTTAGGGTCCTTCCCCGTCTTTCGAAGCCTTTCCCCGGCTCCAGAAATACAGGCAGTCCTCAGCTTTACGACAGCCTGTTCAGTGACCGTCGCAAGGGCACTGAAAATAAAGGGACTTTGGATTGTTTCCCACACTTTACGAAGGCTGCAGCGTCCCCGGGGTCTACATGATCAAAATTCAAAACTTTATGAGTAGGGGAAGACAGAGTTGCTTAACTACCGTATGTCTCGCTGAATGACTGCCGTGATTCCCTTAACAACAGGGGCAAGGAAGGCCGCAAAATTCACTTAACCAATCAATGTCTCGCTTAGCGGCGGAGATTTTGGGGCTCCACCGCGGACGTTAAGCCGAGGATCACCTGTAAACACCTCGCCCTTTGCACCTACCTCTTTCCTCATCGATTCGGACAATTTGGGATCGAGGTTCCGGCGGGCCGGCAGGCTCCCGTCGCCTTTGGTTTCTGGACTGGGGGCCAAATCCCAAAACAGAGGATGAGCCATAAGAGCCAAACCCAGGCCCCCACCGGTGTCCCCCCCACCCACCGCCGCGAGCTCTCTGCCCAGAGGGGACCACCCAGAGGAGAGAAGCAGCCCCCTTCCACCTTACCCGTTTTGCCCTATCCTGTGTAAGTATCTGTACAGCTCTTCCGCGGAGGGCACGGCCCTCCCCTTGGCCTGGTGCTGCTTCAGGAGGAGGGAGACGGCGGCCACGTGTTTGGGAGACAGGATCCCTTCCTCGTGGGCTGGGGGAGAGAGGAGAGGAGGGGAGGGGAGGGGAGGGGAGGGGGAAGAGGAGAGGAGGGGGAGAGGAGGAGGAGGGGAGAGGAGAGGAAGAAGAGGAGAGGAGAGGAAGAAGGAGAGGAGAGAAGAAGAAGAGGAGGAGGAGAGGAAAGGAGGAAAGGAAGAGGAGAGGAAGAAGGAGAAGAGAGGAAGAAGGAGAGGAGGAGAGGAGAAGAAGAGGAGAGGAGAGGAGGGAAGAGAAGAAAAGGAGAGGAGAAGAAGAATAAGAGGAGAGGTGAGGAAGAAGGAGGAGGAGACAAGGAGGAGAGGAGGAGGAAAGGAGAGGGAGAAGGAGAGGAGAGGAGGAGATGAGAGGAAGGAGGAGAAGGAGGAGAGGAGGAGGAGAGGAGAAGGAGAGGAAGAAGGAGAGGAGAGGAAGAAGAGGAGGAGAGAAGGAGGAGAGGAGGAGGAAAGTAGAGGGAGAAGGAGAGGAGAGGAGAGGAAGAAGGAGAGGAGAGGAAGAAGAAGAGGAGGAGGAGAGAAGGAGGAGAGGAGGAGGAAAGGAGAGGGAGAAGGAGAGGAGAGGAGGAGAGGAAGAAGGAGAGGAGAGAAGGAAAGGAGAGGAGAGGAAGAAGGAGAGGAGAGGGAGGAGGAGGAGAAGAGAAGGAGGAGAATAATAAAGGAGAAGGAGGAATGAAAGAGAAGGAGACATGGAGGAGGAGGAGGAGGAGGAGGAGGAGAAGGAAAAGGCATGAAGATGGAGGAAGAGGAAGAGAAAGGAGGAGGAGGAGGAAATGGGGAAGGGCAGGGGAGGGAATGGGAGAGGAGGAAAAAGAAGAGGAGAGCAGAAAGGAGAAGGAGAGGGAGAAAGAGGAGGAGGAGGAGGAGGAGGAGGAGGAGGAGGAGGAGGAGGAGGAGGAGGAGGAGGAGGAGGAGGAGGAGGAGGAGGAGGAGGAAAAGAGAAAAAAAAATCCGTCTGGGGCTCCAAGACTGGCTAACTGGACCCACCCCGGAGGCCCCTCCAGGAACGAGCACGCACCAACGTTCTGTTTGGAGGGACTCACTGGTTCCAGGCTGAAGCAGACGGGTCCCGATTTGGGCAGAGCGACTTTGGTTTTGTGGACGGCGGCAGTGCTGGGGGGCTGGATGCGAATGGTGCTGACCGAGGGCTGCGCCGGATCCCAGAGGGCCGTGGACCGTTCGTGGTAAGACTGCGAGTTACCTAGGGAAACGTCGGGAAAGCTTCAGCTGGGAAGGAGCAGCAGAGGCCTAAACGCCACCAAGAGTTTAGGCCATCGAGTAACACGGGAGTACCCAACGGGGGGCAACTTTAAAGACTTCAACTCCCAGCATTCCCCCAGCCAGCGAAGATTGATCGGAAATCAGCACGGCGGGGAGGAGGAGAACAAATATCATTTTTGTTTGAATGGGTCACTTTCTTAGTAGAGGGCGGGAATGCAGATCGACATAATATAACTTGACTTCAGCCAAGTTGGAAAAAAAAGAATCCACAAGTTAATTGATCAACGAGTTAAAGGTAAGCTAGATGGCCTGGCAGTTCCAAGGGAAACTGCTGTGCTGGCTGAGGAATTCTGGGAGTTGAAGTCCACCAGTCCTCAAAGAGCCAAGTTTGAAGACCCCAGCTTGTGGACTTCAACTCCCAGAATTCCTCAGCCAGGCACACTGGCTGAGGAATTCTAGGAGTGGAAGTCCACAAGTCATCAAAGGGTCATAGTTCCTTCACACTGGCTGAGGAATTCTGGGAGTTGAAGTCCACAAGTCATAACAGGGCCATAGTTCCCTCACACTGGCTGAGGAATTCTGGGAGTTGAAGTCCACAAGTCATAACAGGGCCATAGTTCCCTCACGCTGGCTGAGGAATTCTGAGAGTTGAAGTCCATGAGTCATAAAAGGGCCACAGTTCCCTCACGCTGGCTGAGGAATTCTGGGAGTTGAAGTCCATGAGTCATAAAAGAGCCACAGTTCTCTCACGCTGGCTGAGGAATTCTAGAAGTCCACAAGTGATAAAGGGGGTCCTAGTTCCCTCACGCTGGCTAAGGGATTGTGGGAGTTGAAGTCCAGAAGTCATGAAAGGGTCATAGTTCCCTCATGTTGGCTGAGGAATTCTGGGAGTTGAAGTTCACAAGTGATAAAGGGGGTCCTAGTTCCCTCACGCTGGCTGAGGAATTCTGGGAGTTGCAGTCCACAAGTCATCAAAGGGTCCTAGTTCCCTCACGCTGGCTGAGGAATTCTGGGAGTTGAACTCCACAAGTCATGAAAGGGTCCTAGTTCCCTCACTCTGGCTAAGGAATTCTGGGAGTTGAAGTCCATGAGTCATAAAAGAGCCACAGTTCTCTCACGCTGGCTGAGGACTTCTAGAAGTCCACAAGTGATAAAGGGGGTCCTAGTTCCCTCACGCTGGCTAAGGGATTGTGGGAGTTGAAGTCCAGAAGTCATGAAAGGGTCATAGTTCCCTCATGTTGGCTGAGGAATTCTGGGAGTTGAAGTTCACAAGTGATAAAGGGGGTCCTAGTTCCCTCACGCTGGCTGAGGAATTCTGGGAGTTGCAGTCCACAAGTCATCAAAGGGTCCTAGTTCCCTCACGCTGGCTGAGGAATTCTGGGAGTTGAACTCCACAAGTCATGAAAGGGTCCTAGTTCCCTCACTCTGGCTAAGGAATTCTGGGAGTTGCAGTCCACAAGTCTTAAAGGGACCAAGCTTGAAGACCTCAGGGCTAGAAGACAAGGGAAGGGCAGTTGTCCTGGGAAAGTGGAGGAGGGAGGCTGGGTCACGGGGCTCACCGATCTGGGTCCGATTCGTGGTACGGGGTGGGCTGTCCGTGGCAGACGTCTCCTGACGCGGAGGGCTTCCTTCGAAGTCGGAGTGGGCCAGAAGCTGGTGGGGTGGACAAGAGTTAAGGAGGAAGGCCTCAGCTCCCCACAGTCCACCCCACTCCAGCTCAACCATCAGAACCACAAAGAAAAAAGGGGGGGAAAAGCCAACGTGGTAAATAAGCATTTAGGAGAGAGAGAAGTTGAGTTTTGAGGGAGGGAAGCGAGCCTTTTTCGCTTGGAAAACTTGCTTCGGAAGGAAGTTGGGTCACCTTCTAGACCAGTGGTTCTCCACCTGTGGGTCGGGACCCCATTTGGGGTCGAACGACCATTTCACGGGGGTCGCCAAACAACGCAGTCCGCCATTTCCCCCCCCCTTTTCCTTAGCTGTGCTCCTCCCTTTTATTCTATCGGCTTTTGAAAGCCAATAGAAGAGACTCTCTTGAATAGAGTCTAATTCTATTGGCTTTCCAAAGCCAATCGGAATTGTCCAGGCTGTCTCTGCCCTGCTGAGCCCACCAAAAGTCCCATTCTGCAAATGGTGCTGCACCCGTTGAGTAGTCCTCGACTTACGACCGGTTGAGTAGTCCTCGACTTACGACCGGTTGGGGGTCACGGCGTTAAAAAGGTTGAGAACCTCTGTAAATCTAGCCAATCTTGTATCATCAATCTTGGCAACTTTAAATTACACGGACTTCAATCTTAGAATTCCTCTCAGAAAGCGCTGTGGGCTGGGGGATTCTGGGAGTTGAAGTCCACCCATCTTAAAATTGTGTGCTGGATGAGGAATTCTGGGAGTTGAAGTCCACCCATCTTAAAATTGTGTGCTGGCTGGGGGATTCTGGGAGTTGAAGTCTACCCATCTTAAAATTGTGTGCTGGATGGGGAATTCTGGAAGTCCATACTTCTTAAAATTGTACACTTGATGGGGAATTCTGGGAGTTGGGAGTCCACATATCTTACAAGGTATTCTGGGAGTTGGAATTGACACATCTTATAGCAGGGGTCTTCCAACTGGGCCCTTGGATGACTTGTGGACTTCAACTCCCAGAATTCATAGTTCCCTCACGCTGGCTGAGGAATTCTGGGAGTTGAAGTCCACAAGTCATCCAAGGGACTGTCTTACAGTCACTGAAGTTGAGAAACACTGCTCTAGAAAGTGCACTGCACTTCCAACCAGCTGGTCTTACACACACACACACACACACACACACACACACACACACACACACATCTTTTCCTGCAGGCAAGAACAAGGCTCCTTACCAGACGCATGTAGTAGTTCAGGTCCGGCTGCGGGCCCTGCGCCCCACTCTCCCCAGTGCTGGGCTGAGTGAGCTCGCTCTCGTTCCCGGCCAGCTCAGGGCTGGAGCCGTCCCTCTCGTCCGCAAAGGGGTGCTCGGCTAGGTTTTCTGGGTGGAAATTCAAACCTGGAAACAGAGAAAAGGAAGAATCAGACCTTGGTTCAGCCACACAATCCGTCAGTCAGTCAGTCAGTCAGTCAGTCAGTCAGTCAGTCAGTCAGCCTGCCTATCTATCTATCTATCTATCTATCTATCTATCTATCTATCTATCTATCTATCTATCTATCTATCTATCTATCTATCTATCTCTATCTATCTATCTATCTTCTCTATCTATCTCTATCTCTCTCTCTCTCTCTCTCTCTCTATCTATCTATATCTCTCTATCTATCTCTCTATCTCTCTACCTACCTACCTATCTATCTATCTATCTCTCTCTCTCTCTATCTATCTATCTAGGTCTTTGGTTATTCGGGTTTTCTCCCACGTCAAATTGGAAGTGTCTTGGTGACGTTTCGACGAAGTCTCATTCGTCATCTTCAGGCTGGTGTTTTCGGCTTCGTGCTTCTAGGAGCAATCTATCTATCTATCTATCTATCTATCTATCTATCTATCTATCTTTCTCTCTCTCTCTCTCCATATTTCTCTATGTATCATTTATCTGTCTGTCTCTGTCTATCTAGCTAGCTAGCTAGCTAGCTCTATCTTATCTATCTATATCTATCTATCTATCTATCTATCTATCTATCTATCTATATCTAGTATATCTATCTAACATATTTCTGTATCTATCATCTATCTGTCTGTCTATCTATTTACCATATTTGCTTATATCTATCTTTCTATCTATCTATCTATCTATCTATCTATCTATCTATCTATCTATCTCTATCTAAATATCTATCTATCTCTATCACTATCTCTATCTTCTATCATCTATCATTATCTATCATTTATCTATCTATATCTATCATCTATTTCTATCACTACCTATCTACCTACCTACCTATACCTATCACCCATCTATCCATCCATCCATCCATTTCTATCTTGCCTTTATTATTCTTACAAATAATTAAAAGCAGCAAACGCACCTAATATTCCTTTCTCCATTTCCCCCACAACATCTCTGTGAGATAGGTTGGGCAGAGAGAGAGAGAGAGGGACGGGGAAGGGATTGGCCCAAAGCCACCGATCTGGGGCAGGACTAGAACTCAGAACCCCCTCGCAGAGCCTCTGCCAAGGACGGCCTCCGCGCGCCCGCCCACCTGCTCCGGCAACGGTGGTGTCCACCTGGGGGTCCAGCTGCTGGAAGCCCTGCTGGCTGAGCAGGCTAGAGTTGAGGATGTGGCTGAATTCGGAGGAGAGGCGCCCCGCGTCCGGCACCAGGGGCAGAAAGTGCCGGGAAGACTCCCGCGGGCGCTTCTCGGCTCCTTCGGAGAGCCCCTGCAACCGGGTCTGCTGCTGGAGGACGGGCTGCAGTGGCACCGCCTTGGCCCACCCCAGCTCCTTGCAGTCGCCCATGCCCGGAGTGCTGCAGAGGGCCTCCCCCTTCGCGGTCCTCTTCACAGGGTCCGAGGGGGGCAGAAATTCTGACGCGGAGGGGGGGTCTGCGTCAGCTTCCTACAAGATCAAGGAAAAGGGACGGGGGAAAAAAATTGCGTTTAATTACAGCAGAGGCGTCCAACTGTGGCCACTTGAAGACCCGTGGACTGCAACTCCCAGAATTCCCCAGCCAGGATACAATTTTAAGATATATAGATATCAACTCCCAGGATTCCTCAGCCGGGATACAATTTTAAATTGTATAGACTTCAACTCCCAGGATTTCCCAGCCAGGATCCAATTTTAAGGTGCGTTGACTTCACCTCAGAATGAGAGAGAAAGAGAAAGAAAGAAAGAAAGAAAGAAAGAAAGAAAGAAAGAAAGAAAGAAAGAAAGAAAGAAAGAAAGAAAGAAAGAAGGAAAGAAAGAAATAGAGAATGAGAGAGGAAGAAAGAAAGAAAGGGAGAGGAGAGAAAGAGAAAGAATGAAAGAAAGAAAGAATGAGAGAAAGAGAAGAGAAAGAAAGAATGTGAGAGAAAGAAAGAGAAAGAAAGAAAGAAAGAGAGAATGAGAGAGGAAGAAAGAAAGAATGAGGGAGAGGAGAAAGAATGAGAAAGAAAGAAAGAGAAGAGAATGAGAGAAAGAATTAGAGAAGAGAGAATGAGAGAAAGAATGAGAATGAGAGAAAGTGAGAGAATGAGAATGAGAGAGAGAAAGAAAGAAAGAATGAGAGAATGAGAGAAAGAGAAAGAAAGTGAGAGAGAGAAAGAATGAGAGAAAGAGAATGAGAGAAAGAATGAGAGAATTAGAGAAAGAATGAGAAGGAGAAAGAGAGAGAGAATGAGAAAGAAAGAGAGATGAGAGAGAATGAGAGAGAGAGAGAGAGAGAGAGAGAGAGAGAGAGAGAGAGAGATATGGATGGATGCACGTATGCCTGCTCTGACTGCTTCCCACCAATCTTACTCTACTTTGTAGACCCATTCCAGGCTTCTGGAGGACGGAGGATGCTATGGTTGAACCTGCAGCCAGGATACAATTTTAAGATGTGTAGACTTCAATTCCCAGAATTCCCCAGGTGAATGCTGATCACATGACCACGGGGATGCTGCAATGGTTTCGTGAAACAGGATCGTTTAAGTCCCTTTTTTCAGGGCTGTTCTAAGTTCAAACAGGCACTAAAAAAACTCTTCTAAATCAAGGATTAACTGTATTCCCGAGGCAGATCCAGCAGCCCCTGGATCCAACGGTCGTTAAGCCACATTTTTTTCAGTGTAAGTTCAAACAGTCACTAAACAAATGGGTGTAAGCTGAGGATTAGACTGGACTGGACTGGACTAGACTACACTAGACTAGACTAGACTAGAATAAAATAAAATATAGAATAGAATAATAGAATAGAATAGAATAGAATAGAATAGAATAGAATAGAATAGAATAGAATAGAATAGAATAGAATAGAATAGAAGCTGGAAGGGACCTTGGAGGTCTTCTAGTCCAGCCCCCTGCTCAAGCAGGAGAAATTATACCATCTCAGACAAGTGACTGTCTAGCCTCTTCTTAAAAATCTCCAGGATGGAGATGATGGAGCGCCCACGATTTCTGGTGGCAAGCTGTTCCACTGGTTAATTGTCCTCACAGTCAGGAAGTTTCTCCTTAATTCCAGGTTGCTTCTCTCCTTGATCAGTTTCCATCCATTGTTTCTCGTCCTGCCCTCTGGTGCTCTGGTGAACAACCTGACCCCCTCTTCTTTGTGGCAGCCCCCCCAAATACTGGATCACTGCTATCATGTCTCCCCTATTTCTTCTTTTCCTTAGACCAGCCAGACCCAAGTCCCGCAGCCGTTCTTTGTACATTTTAGTCGATCATCTTAGTTGCTCTTCTCTGCACTTTTCCCAAACTCTCAACCTCTTTTTTGTGATGTGGTGACCAAAATTGGCTGCAGTATCCCAGGTGTGGCCTTACTAGGGTTTTACAAAGCGGTGCTAATACTTTGCGTGATCTTGATTCTCTACCTCTGTTTATGCAACCCAGGATTGTGTTGGCTTTTTTGGCTGCTGCCGCATGCGGCTGGCTCAGGGTCAAGTGATTGCTGGAAGGGAGATCTTCTAGTCTAAGGCAGGAATTCTTCAATCATTCCAGACAAATGGTTGTCCAATCTTTCTTGAAAACTGATAATTAGATAGATGGATGGATGGATGGATGGATGGATGGATGGATGGATGGATGGATAGATAGATAGATAGATATAAGAGAGAGAGAGAGAGAGATACATAGAGATATAGATAGATAGATAGATAGATAGATAGATAGATAGATAGATAGATAGATAGATATAGAGATAGATAGAGATAGATATAGATATAGAAATAGAAATAGATAAATAGATATAAGATAGATAGATAGATAGATAGATAGATAGATAGATAGATAGATAGATAGATATAAGATAGATAGATAGATAGATAGATAGATAGATAGATAAAGATAGATATAAATAGATAGAAATAGATAGAGATAAATAGATATAAGATATATAGATAGATATATAGAGAGAGATAGAGATACATAGAGATAGATAGATAGAGAGAGAGAGATACATAGAGATAGAGATAGATAGATAGATAGAGATAGAGATATATATATAGAGAGAGAGAGACAGATAGATAGATAGATATATAGAGAGAGAGATAGATAGATAGAGATACATAGAGATAGAGATAGATAGATAGAGATAGAGATAGATATAGATAGCGATAGAGAGATACATAGAGATAGAGATAGATAGATAGATAGAGATAGAGAGATAGAGATACATAGAGAGAGAGAGAGAGAGAGAGAGAGAGACAGACAGACAGACAGACAGACAGACAGATAGATAGATAGATAGGGTAGGTCTCACCTAATCTGTACTCATAGTTTAATTGCCTCAATGTAAGAGTTTGCTTTTCTCTACCTTGAAACTCGTGTTGTTGGACAGGGCTCGTGGTTCAACCACCTCCCTACCTTTGTCCAGGGGCGATGCGGGGGTCTCACCTGGCATGGGGCTTTGGGCGAGGGCTGCAGGGGGGCACGGCTGGTGGCGAAGAGCCGCAGGGCCTCGTTCCAATGGGCCTGCATCATGGCCTGGAACTGGCTGACCATCTCGGCCCGTTGAGCCTCCAGGTGCCGGTACCTGCTCCTCAGCTCCCGCAGCTCTTCCTGCTGTTTGGACATCCTGGCAGGCAAAAAAGGGTGAAAACAAAAAAAATCAACCGGTGGGAAACCAGCAGCCCCAGTTTCGAACGCAGGCAGTCTCAACTTACGACCGTTCGCTTAGTGACTGTCCGAAGTCACGACGACACCAGGGGAGCGGGGGGGAAACGTCGACTTCACCGGTCAGAAGGTCGCAAAAAGGGGACGCTGCCACCGTCATAAATAGGGGTCAGTTTGCCAAAGCGTCTGGATTTTGGTCACATGACTATGGGGAGGCCGCCATGTGAAAAACGGTTGTGGGAAGAATCCGTAGAAAGAAAGATTTTGGGGAAATATGAAAAAGGCAGAAGGTTGTATTTCCCCAAAGGATCTTAAAGGCAGAAACCAAACACACACACACACACACACACACACACACACACACACACACACACACACACACACAGAGACCCAAGTCTCTCTGCCCCAAACAGAAACCAGCTCTGCAGAAATGCGGATGTCATAATCTTGTCAGAAAGATGGGAGCCAGGAAGCGGATGGGATTAGAAAGACAAAGACTCCTAGAATAAACAATCCCTCAAACCAAAAAATCCAACACGACAGTCTTAGCCACAGCCCCAGGGAAGCAGGATATGACCTTTGGGACACAATAGGATTCACCCACCACCATCAGAATACCAGAAAGGCACACTTAGACTCAGGTCAAAGTCCATACCACAAGAACAACTCCAAACAAAAGCCCAAGAAGGTATAAAATCCCACCACTCCCTGCTACATGTGGTCGGTTTTTCCCAGAGCCATCTTGCTTGAGCAGGGGGCTGGACTAGAAGACCTCCAAGGTCCCTTCCAGCTCTATTCTACTCTGAATTCTGAATTCTGTCTGGCTGTCCTCTTCAATATACTGCAACCTTCTTTCTAAATCAGTCTCCATTTTGTTTATTCCCAGCTTGGACTGGACCCCGATGAAGATTTTTCTTTCAACGTGGTCGTTAAGTCCTTTTTTTCCAGTGCCGTTGTAACTTCAAACGGTCCCTATACCAGTGGTTCTCAACCTGTGGGTCAGGACCCCATTTGGGGTCGAACGACCATTTCACGGGGGTCGCCAAACAACGCAGTCCGCCATTTTTCCCCCCCTTTTCCTTAGCTGTGCTCCTCCCTTTTATTCTATTGGCTTTCGAAAGCCAATAGAATAGACTCTCTTGAATAGAGTCTAATTCTATTGGCTTTCAAAAGCCAATAGGAATTGTCCAGGCTGTCTCTGCCCTGCTGAGCCCGCCAAAAGTCCCAGTCTGCAAGTCCTCGACTTACGACCGGTTGAGTAGTCCTTGACTTACGACCCGTTGGGGGTTGCGGAATTAAAAAGGTTGAAAACTACTGCCCTAAAGGAACGGTTGTGAGTTGAGCACCACCCGTAAAGAGATTCAGGGGGGGGGCACCGCAAACTTAAGGCTACCTATGTTCATAGTCCTCAGTGAGGTGCTTCTGCTGGGCCTCCTTCTCGGTCAGATCTGCCTTGAACTGAGCCAGCTGTTTGGCCAACTCTTTCTCGTGGTGGCTGCCGAGCTCCAGCAACTGCTTCCTGCAAAAAAACCAAACAAACAAACAAAAAAAGAAAAATTAAATTAAAATAAAGATCTTTTCCACCAAGAAAACAGACGTCTCTCACAAACTCCAGCCAGCAGCCGGCACTGAGCCGAGAGAGAATCAATCTTCCATCTAAAAGTAGAAAATGCCTAAGGGGCAGTCCTCAGGTTACGACCACAAAATTCAAGTCGCTAAGTGAAACATTTAAGTGAATTTTGCCTCGTTTTAACGACCTTTCTTGCTCCAATGATTAAGCAGTTCGCTGCAGCTGTTGAGTTAGTAAAATGAATCTGGCTTTTTCCCCCCCGTGGTCTTGGCTCGTCCGACGGTCGCAAAAGGGGATCGCGTGACCCCGGGACACTGCGACCGTCATAAATGCGAGTCATTGGCCGAGACTCTGAATTTTGATCATGTCGCAACGGTCGTCAAGCATGAAAAATGGTCCTAAGTCATTTTTTTTCAGTGCCATTGTAACTGTGAACGGTCGCTAAATGAAACGTTGTAAATCAAGGACTGCCGGTACTGCAAAAATGATCGTTTTTTTTCCTCGCTCGAAAGGAGATTTTTAAATTTAAATCTTTGATTGCCCAGTGGGTATTCTCTGCATTTTATTGTGCGAGATCAAAGATTAAAAAATAATAGTAATAATAATAAAAGGAGCTTTAGCAGGCACCAAGGAGCAAAAGCTGCCTTGTAAATTCTCATTGGTATCTTCTTAAGCTGTAAACCAGAAAGTGTGGATTTCTCATTTTTAACGGGTCTTTGCGCATCTGTCCAAATGCAGTTGGGTAGATTAGGGAATAAATACTTTAAATACAGTTTTGAATCGCCCTCGGCTCTTCCCTAAAGCCTTTAGATTAACCCCAAATCGACAGCGACAGACGGATAAATCAGTGCGACAAAAAGAGCATTCGGATTCTGAAAATTTGAATATTTGGGGCGATGTTCTGCGGGGTTTCTGGAGCTGTTAAGAGGAAGGATTGCCTGTTACACACACACACACACACACACACATACACACACACACACCAAAAAGAAAAAACGGGAGATTTAAGACTGTATCTGGGTGATAAGTGGATGGGGAGAAAAGAATAAATCGTGGATTCATTTGGTTGGAGGAGAATAAGACACCTCAAGTCCTTTGGGGGGGGGGGAATAAAAGGAGGTTTTTGATCTGAAGCCAGAGAACTGGCCAAATATTTGAAGTTGGGAAAGGCCTTCTCTTTAGACTTCCTCAACTGGACTTTCAGGAAAAGTCATCATTGGGAAAAATAAAAATAAAAATAAGCCTTGCTTTTTTAATGTCACACTCCGTTCAATGGAAGCGGTCGCTGTAGGATTCTTCTGCACCAGAACGGAAGTGCCCGGCTGACACTTTGCTGTTGCAAAAGTCAGAAAATGTGGATTAAAGTTAGAAAGGAATTGGATTCGTAGAATCTTAGGGCTGGAAGGGAGATCTTCTAGTCTAAGACAGGAGTTCTTCAATCATTCCAGACAAATGGTTGTCCAATCTTTTCTTCAAAACTGATAGATAGATAGATAGATAGATAGATAGATAGATAGATAGATAGATAGATAGATAGATAGATAGATAGATAGATAGATAGATAGATAGATACAGATAGAAAGATAGACAGATATAGATATACTAGATAGATAGATAGATAGATAGAGATAGATAGATAAACAGACAGATAGACAGATAGATAGATAGATATACTAGATATAGATATACTAAAATAGATAGATAGATAGATAGATAGATAGATAGATAGATAGATAGATAGATAGATAGATAGATAGATAGATAGATAGATAGATAGATAGATAGGTAGGTAGGTAGGTAGACAGATAGAAAGATAGACAGATAGAATGATACAGATATAGATATACTAGATAGATAGATAGATAGATAGATAGATAGGTAGATAGATAGATAGACAGATAGATAGATAGATAGATAGATATAGATATACTAGATAGATAGATAGATAGATAGATATATTAGATAGATAGATACATAGATATGCTATAGATAGATAGATAGATAGATAGATAGATAGATAGATAGATAGATAGATATACTAGATATAGATAGATAGATAGATAGATAGATAGATAGATAGATAGATAGATATGCTATAGATAGATAGATAGATAGATAGATATACTAGATATAGATAGATAGATAGATAGATAGATATGCTATAGATAGATAGATAGATAGATAGATAGATAGATAGATAGATAGATAGATAGATAGATATACTAGAGATAGACAGACAGACAGACAGACAGACAGACACACACACACACACACACACAGATCTAGAGCAGTGTTTCTCAACCTTGACAATGGGTGGACTTCAGCTCCCAGAATTCCCCAGCCGTCAGATCAGCTTTTGCTTTAATCCAGTGTTCTCAACCTTGACAATTTTAAGGCATTGCTGGCTGTGGAATTCTGGGAGTTGAAATCCCCATACCTTAAAATTGTCAAGGCCGAGAAACACTGCTCTAGAGGGACCTTGGAGGTCCTATATCATTCTGGACAAACGGTTGTCCAATCTTTGTTTAAAGTCACTTTTCCCCATTCTCCAAGACAAAGGTAGCTCCAGGTTGAGAAATGCTCCTTTAGACACTGATTTTATTCATTGTTCCGCAAAACGCAGTTCTACTCCCCCTAACAGTTAAAGAGGGGAATCGTGGCTTTGAACCGCAACTGACGAAACACTCCCAAGCAACAGCAAGAGAGGCTGCCACGTGCTCTGCTCACACCTGCAGTCCCCCCCCCCCATCTCTTCGAATTGTGGATGAAGCACAAGTGCAAAATTCAAGTTTCCTAACGGAAGGTGGGCGGGGGGGGGAGACAGTGCAGGGAGAAAAGGGGAGGGAAGAGAGAGAGAGACTGGGTAGCCCACCTGCTCAGTTCAGAAACGGGAGCCCCTTCCAAGACCCTGGATTTTGGGAGAAAAGAAAGAAGCCCACCTCTTCATGTCCCCAGGAGGAGGAGGAGGAGGAGGAGGAGGAGGAGGAGAATAGAATAAAAATAAAAGCCACATTTGAGCAGGGGAGTTTGAAACCAAGACGGTTTCAAAAAAATATTTGAACGGCCGATCAAAGCCAAGAAGCAGGGGAAAGAGAGAAAGAGAGAGAAAAAGAAAGAAAGAAAGAAAGAAAGAAAGAAAGAAAGAAAGAAAGAAAGGAAGGAAGGAAGGAAGGAAGGAAGGAAGGAAGGAAGGAAGGAAGGAAGGAAGGAAGGAAGGAAGAAGATGAATAAAGGAGGGGGAGGAAGAAAGGACTGTGAGAGGAATAAGGGAAGGAAGGGAGGAAAGAGAAAGAAGATGAAGAATAAAAGAGGAGAGGAAGAGAGAAGAGGAAGGAAGGAAGGAAGGAAGGAAGGAAGGAAGGAAGGAAGGAAGGAAGGAAGGAAGGAAGGAAGAAAGAAAAAGAAAGAAAGAGGAAGGAAGGAAGGAAGGAAGGAAGGAAGGAAGAAAGAAAGAAAGTAAGATAGGAAGGAAGGAAGGAAGGAAGAAAGAAAGGAAAGTAAGAAAGAAAGAAAGGAAGGAAGGAAGGAAGGAAGGAAGGAAGGAAGGAAGAAAGAAAGAAAGAAAGAAAGAAAGAAAGAAAGAAAGAAAGAAAGAAAGAAAGAGGAAGGAAGGAAGGAAGGAAGGAAGGAAGGAAGGAAGGAAGGAAGGAAGAAAGTAAGAAAGGAAGGAAGGAAGATAGGAAGGAAGGAAGGAAGAAAGAAAGGAAAGTAAGAAAGAAAGAAAGAAAGAAAGAAAGAAAGAAAGAAAGAAAGAAAGAAAGAAAGAAAGAAAGAAAGGGCAAAGGGGGAGAGGGATTCCCCCCCCGTCCTTCCACCTGTGCTGTTCCCGCATGGCGCTCATCTGGCGCAGGCTGTCCTCGTGAACCTCGGCCAGGCGCTCAGTCACGCGCTGCTCCAAGGCCACCTTCAGCTCTGACTCCAGCTTGGCCTTCTGGGCCTCAAAACGGGCCTGCAAAGAGAAAGGGGAGACGTCAAGAGTCGGGGTCCGGGGGGGGGGGAGACCCTCTGAGTCTGGCGGTTCGCCGGCAGACGTTTCGCGAGCCGACTAGGGAATGTCATCAGGAGGCGGAGGAGGAGGAGGACTGAGGTCTTTGGTGCTCTCTGAGCTTGGCTGTTCGCTGGCAGACGTTTCATGATCCAACTAGGGAATGTCATCAGGAGGTGGAGGAGGAGACAGCTTTCATGGCTAAGGCGGAACTAGAACTCACCGTCTCCTGGTGATTGGCCCAAAGTCACCCAGCTGGTCTCCATGCCTAAGGCGGGACTAGAACTCACCGTCATCTGGGGATTGGCCCAAAGCCACCCTGATGGTTTTCATGCCTAAGGCGGGACTAGAACTCACCGTCTCCTGGGGATTGCCCCAAAGTCACCCAGCTGGCTTTCATGCTTAAGGCGGGACTAGAACTCACCGTCTCCTGGTGATTGGCCGAAAGCCACCTAGCTGGCTAAGGCGGGACTAGAACTCACCGTCTCCCACTTTCCAGCAGACAAGACTCCTCTTAGATCAGTGGTTCTCAACCTTTTTAATGCCGCGACCCCCAACCAGTCGTAAGTCGAGGACTACTCAACTGGTGCAGCACCGTTTGCAGAATGGGACTTTTGGCGGGCTCAGCAGGGCAGAGACAGCCTGGACAATTCCTATTGGCTTTTGAAAGCCAATAGAATTAGACTCTATTCAAGAGAGTCTATTCTATTGGCTTTCAAAAGCCAATAGAATAAAAGGGAGGAGCACAGCTAAGGAAAAGGGGGGAAAAAATGGCAGACAGCCTTGTTTGGCGACCCCCGTGAAATGGTCGTTCGACCCCAAATGGGGTCCCGACCCACAGGTTGAGAACCGCTGGCTTAGACCCCGCCGGCTGAAATCCCTCGGCTGCTGGGATCCGCAGTGCGCCCCTCCTGGCAAAACGAATGGGCCGGGGAGGGGGTGGTCCTGTCGGGGCAAGACCGTTCTTCCGATACCCCGGAGCTCAGTTGACGACGAGGCTCCCTCCTCTCAACAGAAGTCCTTCCTCCCCTTCAAAGCCACAGGGGTCCAAGCAAAGCCCCCAATCCTGGTTTACGCCTCCATCCCCAACCAACCAACCGACGTTTGGGTAGGGCGGGTTGCGGCCCCCGTTACCTTCAGCAAGCTCAGCTCCATCTTCAAGGAGTCTCTCTCGCGCCGTGCTGCCTCCAGGTCAGCCTGCAGGCCCGGCATTTCGGCCTGCACTTTGGCCAACGCCTGTTGGACGTCCAGAGCCTTCTGAGCTTCCCGCTGGGCCACCATCTAGACCGGGGGGGGGGGGAAGAGAAGCAGATGATGATGATGATGAGGAGGAGGAGGAGGAGGAGGAGGAGGAGGAGGAGGAGAAGAAGAAGAAGAAGAAGAAGAAGAAGAAGAAGAAGAAGAAGAAGAAGAAGAAGAAGAAGAAGAAGAAGAAGAAGAAGAAGAAGAAGAACAACAACAACAACAACAACAACAACAACAACAACAACAAGTAGAACAAGAAGAAGGAGGAGGAGGAGGAGGAGGAAGAGGAGAAGGAGAAGGAGAAGAAGAAGGAGCAGGAGGAGGAGAAGGAGAAGGAGAAGAAAAAGAAGGAGGAGGAGGGGGAGGAGGAAGAGATAGAGAAGGAGAAGGAGAAGGAGGAGGAAGAGGAGAGAAAAAAAGAAGAAGAAAAAGGAGGAGGAGGAAGAGAAGAAGGAGGAGGAAGAGGAGGAGGAGAGGAAGAGGAGAAGAAGGAGGAGAAGGAGGAGAAGAAGAAGGAGCAGGAGGAGGAGAAGGAGAAGGAGAAGAAAAAGAAGGAGGAGGAGGGGGAGGAGGAAGAGATAGAGAAGGAGAAGGAGAAGGAGGAGGAAGAGGAGAGAAAAAAAGAAGAAGAAAAAGGAGGAGGAGGAAGAGAAGAAGGAGGAGGAAGAGGAGGAGGAGAGGAAGAGGAGAAGAAGGAGGAGAAGGAGGAGAAGAAGAAGGAGCAGGAGGAGGAGAAGGAGAAGGAGAAGGAAAAGAAAAAGAAGGAAGAGGAGGGGAGGAGGAAGAGATGGAGGAGGAGAAGGAGAAGAAGAAGGAGAAGAAGAAGAAGAAGAAGAAGAAGAAGA